CTCACTGATATGAGGAATTCTTAATCTCAGGAAACAAACTGAGGGTTGCTGGAGTGGTGGGGGGTGGGAGGTATGGGGTGGTTGGGTGATAGACATTGGGGAGGGTATGTGCTATGGTGAGCGCTGTGAATTGTATAAGACTGTTGAATCACAGACCTGTACCTCTGAAACAAATAATACATTATATGTTTAAAAAAAAAAAAGATAGTAGGAAGGGAAAAATGAAGGGGGGGAAATCGGAGGGGGAGACGAACCATGAGAGACTATGGACTCTGAGAAAAAAACTGAGGGTTCTAGAGAGGAGGGGGGTGGGGGGATGGGTTAGCCTGGTGATGGGTATTATTTAAAGAGGGCACATATTGAATGGAGCACTGGGTGTTATACGCAAACAATGAATCATGGAACACTACATCAAAAACTAATGTAATGTATGGTGATTAACATAATAAAATTAAAAAAAAAAGACATTAGAAAGCTCCAACAATTAAAACACTGAGTAGTGGAGTAATAATCAATAATCAATCAGTAGAACAGAATACAGGGCCTAATAAAAGACCCTGGAATATTTGGAAATACAGAATATGCTATATACCCAGGAGAACTGAAAACATATGGCCACAAAAAATGTACATAAATATTTATGGTAGCATTATTCATAACAGCCAAAAAGTAGAAACAATCCAGTGCCCATTAATTGATAATTGTTTAAACAAAATATGGTCTATACATACAATTGAATATTATTTGGTCATAAAAAAGAATGAAATAGTGATACATGCTACAACATGAACAGTGAAAACATTATGCTAAGTGAGAGAAGCCACAAAAGGCCATATATTATATGATTCCATTCACTTAATGTTTACAATAGGTAAATCCAGGGACAGGAAGTAGGTTAGTAGTTACCAGGGGCTTAGGAGAGGGGAAAATGGGGAGTGACTCCTAATAGGTTTAGGGTTCCTTTATTCAGTGATAAAAATGTTCTAAAACTAGATCGTGGAGGGGCACCTGAGTGGCTCAGTCGGTTAAGCATCTGCCTTCAGCTCAGGTCATGATCTCAGGGTCCCGGGATCGAGCCCCACCTAGGGCTCCCTGCTCAGCAGGGAGCCTGCTTCTCCCTCTCCCTCTGCGCTCCACCTGCTTGTGCTCCCTCATTCTCTCTGTCAAATAATAAAATAAAATAAAACTAGATAGTGGTGATGGTTCGTAAAATCTGCAATTCTACTAAAAAAGACTGAATTGTATAGCTTCAAAAGATGAATTTTTGGTACATAAATTAGATCTCAATACAGTATAAAGCAATCCCTCTGATGGTCATGTGGAGAACTGATAAAAGAGGAGAGCAATAACCCCATACCTATTTCAGTACACTAGACAAATAAGCGATCCTTACCACCCTGAATCAGCTGCCGGGCCATAAACAAAGCAGTAGAACCAGTAGCACAGTTATTGTTGACATTTATTATAGGAATTCCAGTCAGTCCCAAACTGTGATAGATAGACCTCTGCCCACAGGTAGAGTCACCTGTATAGAAAAAGAAACAAAAACTATAATATCTGCAACATGAGAATTTATGAAGCTGCAATGCAACATGATACCACATTATGGGTTTTTTTTTTTCAGTATTGTGCCTTTGTGCATATAACACAGGCACAACAATAAACTTTTTTTTTTTTTTAAGATTTTATTTATTTATTTGACAGAGAGAGACACAGCGAGAGAGGGAACACCAGCAGGGGGAGAGGGAGAGGGAGAGGCGGACTCCCTGCTGAGCAGGGAGCCCGATGTGGGACTCGATCCCAGGACCCTGGGATCCTGACCTGAGCTGAAGGCAGTCGCTTAACCGACTGAGCCACCCAGGCGCCCAACAATAAACTATTGACATCTTATTCAGAAACAGTTTTTGCATTAAGCATTATTTACACTCCAAATATGAAAAATCCTCAAAACACAGTATATGTGTACTTTCTTTACATGTCACAGACATAGGAGAGTAGAGAAATGACCAAGTAATAGCAAACAATTCAATCTGTCTAGGACTTCATCATAAAAAAGGAAGCAATGTTTCATTTCTACTTCAGATATAAATCTTTAAAACTACATCAATTGATTAAAAGGCTGTGGTTTTCTCTTCATATAAAGGTTCTACAACTTCAAAAAGTTTAAAAGATCCTGTATGGCAGGGTGTTCCAGAAAAACAGTGATCCAAGCTGAATATACATTTGACTCCCTTTCCCAAGTAACACAATCATCAAGGCAGGACATGCTGGAGCAATCTGATGGGGAACATGTGAAGGGACAGACTCTCCAGAAGTCTTCAGGGAAAACAGCAAGGTTCAGGACCTTCTTTTCAATAAATACATTGTGCATCTCTTTGACCTAGTAAATTTCCCTTTGAGGATGCTCTTGATATCTTGAAATCTCAAAAAAAATAAATAAACACAGATAAACACAAAGATTCATCTACAGTAATGCTTACTATAGCCTTTTATGGTAACTAGAAATTAGAAATAATTAAAAACGTCCAATAAATAAATAAATAAAATGTCCAAGAACAGGATATCATTACAATATCCCCAAGACTAGAAAAGCATGCAGTCATGAAAAATGGTGTAAAAAGACCGGGGACATTCTAAATGTCATTTAAAAGGTGGTAGATTATATGATATATCTATTCAATGGAATTTTATGTTATCATTTAAAAAAAAGACCAAGGAAGCTCTTAATGATATAATTTGGAACAGTAGCCAAGAACTACTAAGTAAAAAAAAAAAAAAATCAAGCTACAAAACAGTGAGTTTATTATGCTACCATGTGTGTAACAAAAGAAAGGGGACAAGGGAACTTACACACTCACACATACTTGGATATGGACAAATCACCTCTGCAAAGATACACTAGAAATTAGTGAAATTGGCTTTCTAAGGGAAGGGAACCATGAGACAGGGAGACAGGAATAAGAGTGAGACTCTCCATCATATAACCATCCACCTTTGGTATTTTTGTACCATGTACATATTTTATCTATTCCAGAAAAAAAAAAAAAACTTAATTGAAAAAATGTTAATGGTACTATAAAAGAAGACTTTTTTTTAAATCTTTTTTTTTTTTAAGATTTTATTTATTTATTTTGACAGAGAGACAGAGAGAGAGGGAATACAAGCAGGGGGAATGGGAGAGGGTGAAGCAGGCTTCCCACTGAGCAGAGAGCCCATTGTGGGGCTCGATCCCAGAACCCTGGGATCATGACCTGAGCCGAAGGCAGACGCTTAACGACTGAGCCACCCAGGAGCCCCTAAAAGAAGATTTAATGGGGAATATGAACTATACTAAAATGAGAAAAGTAGGTTACCAAAAAGTACTAGGATCCTTCTTTTTTTTTTTTTTTAAGTTTTATTTATTTAAGTAATCTCTACACCCAACATGGGGGTCAAACTCACGACCCAGAGATCAAGAGTCGCATGCTCTTCCAACTGAGCCAGCCAGGCACCCCAGGACCTTGTTTTCTTTAAGAGAAAATTCTATGTGCATGCAGACTCACATGCATTCATATTCACTGAAGGATAACATCAAAAAATTAACGGTAATAACTTCGGGACTGGACAATAGGGTTACAGGTGACTTTTTTCTTGTGTTTTTCTGTGTTTCCTTATTTCTTTCTTTTTTTTACAATTAGTCTATACTCTTTTCCTAGTTAGGAAAAAGTTTAATGAAAAATTTTTATTGGGGGTGCCTGGGTGGCTCAGTGGTTGAGCGTCTACCTTCGGCTCAGGTCATGATCCTGGAGTCCTGGGATTGAGCCCTGCAATGGGCTCCCTGCTCAGTGGGGAACCTGCTTCTCCCTCTCCTGTTCCCCCTGCTTGTGCGCGCTCTCTCTCTCTCTGTCAAACAAATAAATAAAATCTTTTAAAAAATGTATTGGATACAAAAAGTCAACGAATACAAATTTTAAGATAACAACAAAATTTTATCTTCTGAATAGTAATTATCTTTACATGGTAGAACTATGCGTAATTTTTTCTTTTTTAAAGATAAACAATGCTTTTTAATTTATCTCCTGTTTTGGCAATAAACAATGGCAAAAAACATATGTTAAACTAGGCTGACACATAAGGGAAATCTAGGAATGATGGAAATAAGTCTGAATTCTGAGTTTGGAGGGTTAAAATTCACAAATGCCTCTGCATTGTTTATGAAGTTGCTGCTAGATTAGGTGAAACATTTTTAAAATATATAGTTTACCACATACCATAAACGTAGCCAATACATGCCTGTTCCACTACTGAATAAGGGATCTGTGCATCAGCTAAAGCCTTCTGGCCTATAAAAACAAAAGGGTTTTATCAAAGAGTGCTTTGAGTATTTGCTTTAGGTGGGTCAAAATAAGTTTAGAGTTTTCCCAGAGTAGATCTGCCTCTAAATAGTCTATGCTCAATTCAAATGACAAATCCTTCATCAATTCATCTCAGATCTCTCCATTCAGAAGTAACTGTTTCCTCCACTAAGCTACTACTTTTTTCACACCTCCTTTTTGATACTTAACATTTTCTGTTCTAACTGTATACCTAACTATAAATATATTAAATCCCAAAGTCTTAAAGCTCCTTAACCTCAAGGTCCTTACTCATCTCTGTGGCTCCACTGCACATCTAAAGGACAAAATTGGAAAGAATATCATTATTGTGGGGGGGAAGGGGAGACTCCCACAGAGCCCTTTGATGTCCAGCAAACACTTGGACAGTACATAAAATCACAGGCCACTGTTTGCCCTGGTTATCTAGCTAAGAATGCCCAAGCTCTTCTCCCTTTGTCCTTCCTAATGAATCACTAGGCAATTGTCTGTATAGGTCCTTCTCCCTTGACTCAGCTTCTTTTTATGGTTCCAAGGTTCCACAATCAAGGCAGATGACACAATAAGTCCAGTGTTCAAAGATCTAAATTTTCTATATTACCTGCTTCTTTTGCCAAGTCAGGGTAGTCTCTTGAATTCTCAAGTCCAGGCTTCATGAACTAGAAATGCAGAAGGAGATAATAAATAGAAGCAAATATAGTTAGATTTTTCTCACAACAGAGCACTGCAAAAATTCATTTATCAATTAATTTAAACAAAAACATACTGAGCACCTAACATGCTCCTAGACTCTGATAATAAATAATATACAGTCGTTGCCCTTGGGGAGCTTCCAGTCCAATGGAAAACAGACAATTATACTATAGTGTCCTTAAGTACAGAATAATTTGGGAAAGAAAACTACCTAGCCTCAGAATGAGGACTAGAAAGGCTTCCCAGAGGAACTGACATTTAAATTAAGTCTTTAAGAATGAGTAGGAGTTAGCCAAGTGATAGAAAAAAAATTCTAGGGCAAAGACCTAGAAGCGAGAGAATATGGCTCAATCTAGGTACTGTGAGCAATTTTATGCTGCAGAAGCTGAAGCACAAATCGGATTCGGCAAGTGACAGGGACAGAAAAGTAACTTAGGACCAAATGATAATAACTACTAACGCTTATTGGGCACTTACTGTGTTCTGCATTATGCTAAGCACTTCTCATGTTTTAATTTACTTAATCCTCACAATAATCCTAAAAGGTAGGTACTATTATTACCATCACTTTACAACAAGAAAGGGTACAGAGAGATTAAGTAATCTGCCCAAGGACACATAGCTAATTAAGTAGTGAAGCTGAAATTTCAGACAGTCTGGTTCTAGAGCTAACTCAAAAGGGAACCTATATGCTTTCCTATGATGTCTGGGCTTTATTCTAAAAACGATGGATTTTTCTTTTTTTTTTTAAGAGAATGGGGATGCCTGTGTGGCTCAGTCGGTTAAGCATCTGCCTTCAGCTTGGGTCATTATCCCAGAGTCCCAGGATTGAGCCCCGCATCGGACTCCCTGCTCGGGCTCCCCGCTCTCTCTGAAGTGGAGATCCTGCTTCTTCCTCTGCCTCTGCACCTCACCCTGCTTGCTCTCTCTCTCTCTCTCTCTCTCGCTCACTCTCTCTCCCTCTCAAATAAATAAATAAATAATCTTTAAAAAAAAGAGAGAGAGAGACAGGGAAAAAAATGAGATACTGCTACCCCCCATTAGAATGGTCAAAATCCAAACACTGACAATACCCAATGTTTACAAGGATGTGGAGCAACAGGAAGTCTCATTCATTGCTGGTGGCAATGCAAAATGGTACAGCCACTTTGGAAGACAGTTTGGCAGTTTCTTATAAAACTAAACATCCTCGGGTGCCTGGGTGGCTCAGTTGTTAAGCGTCTACCTTCGGCTCAGGTCATGACCCCGAAGCTCTGGAATCAAGTCCCACGTCAGGCTCCCTGCTCCCCACTTGTGCACACACTCTCTCTCTCAAATAAATAAATAAAATCTTAAAAAAAAAACAAAAACAAAAAACTAAACATCCTCTTAACATATGATCCAGCAATTGTGCTCCTTGGTATTTATGCAAATGATTTGAAAACTTATGTCCACACAAAAACCCACACAGGGATATTTATAGTAATTTTAAATAATTGCCAAAACTTGTAAGTAACCAAAATGTCTTCAGTAGGTGAATAAACTGTGGTAATACAAACAACGGAATATTATATTATTCAGCCCCAAAAAGATATGAGCTATCACGCCATGAAAAGACATGGAGGAATTTTAAATTCATGTTACTAAGTGAAGAGGCTAATGTGAAAAGCCTACATACTGTATGATTCCAACTATATGACATTCTGAAAAAGGCAAAACTATGGAGACAGTAAAAAGATCAGTGGTTGTCAGGGGTTGAGGAAAGGGAGGGATGAATAGGCAGAGCACAGAGGATTTTTAGCGCAGTGAAACAATTCCATATGATACTATAGTGGATACATGTCATTATACACTTGTCCAAACCTAGAATATTGAACACGGAGAGTGAACCCATCTTGAGTAATAATGATATGTCAGTGTAGGTTCATTGATTATAACAAATGCCCCACTGTGGTGCAGATTACTGATAGTGAATGAGGCTGGGCATGTGTGGGGGCAGGGAGCATATGTGAACTCTACTTTCTGCTCAATTTTGCTGTAACCTAAAACCTAAAACTACTTTGAAAAATAAAGCCCTATTTTTAAAAAAAGACACTGGGGGGTACCTGGGTGGCTCAATCAGTTAGGCATCTGCCTTCCACTCAGGTCATGATCCCAGGGTACTGGGACGGAGTCCCGCATCAAGCTCCCTGCTCAGTGGGGAGTCTGCCTCCCCCTCTGCCCCTCCCCCACCACTCATGCGCTCTTGTGTGTGTGTGTGCAGCACGCGCACGCACTCTCCCTCTCTCTCAAATAAATAAACAAAATCTTTTTAAAAAGAGAGAGAGAGACTGGGATGAAAAGACCTGCATTTTAGATCATTTCAGATGCAATGTGGAGAATGAATGAAGAAATAGGCTGGAGGCAGTGAGAAGGCAGACGGTTAACGACTGAGCCACCCAGGCGCCCCTAAATATTCTTATACTATTACTTCTTTAACAATTTAAGAAATTATACCACAATCTCCAATACGGGCCAATAAGGATTAGGTCTCTTAGGCCCCTCACATATACATTTACACTTCCCCCAACCCACTTATACAACTGAATAAATAATTTTTTACTAAATCAGTACTCAGTGTTTACCTTATTAAGTAAATATGTCTCAACACTGGGCCAAGTTGTGTGCTATAACTACACTTCCTTTATGGTACAATTTTTTTTTCCTAGAGTTATCAACTGCCTCATTCTTAAAAGTTTTAACCTGGTGCCTCAAAAATTTAAAAATAGAGCTACCCTATAACCCAGCAATTGCACTCCTGGGTATTTACCCCAAAGACATAGATGTAGTGAAAAGAAGGGCCACATGCACCCCAGTGTTCATAGCAGCAATGTCCGCAATAGCCAAACTGTGGAAAGAGCCGAGATGCCCTTCAACAGATGAATGGATAAAGAAGATGTGGTCC